TATATATATATATATGCATGTATGTATATATGTTGCACTCATCTTTTGCTGCCTTAGAAATCAAAATAAAACTCAAACAACCCTATTTAGCGATCTAAAGACAATTAATATGAAAAGTTAACTTACCATCCCTAAGATGAGCCTGTTGTTCCATAGACTGCAACCGCAGTTTAAGTTCTCTATTCTCAGTAGTCAAATCAGTAGAATCCTTCTGCAATGCAAGAAAAACAATAGCAATTTAAAGCTTTCAATCTATGGGAAATTTGTCAGCATTTGGGATTGATGCAGCAATAAAGTTCTTGTAATAATGTAAGAAACTTGTCAACACCGATCGGTAATTGTAAAATGAAAAACATAAATGGAAATCAGAGATCAGACCAGGGAATTCAAATGCATGATGTTTAAGGTAAAGAAAATGAAAAAAAAATAATCATGCTAAACTTAATCTTTATGAAATAGATAAAGTTGTGTAATTTACTGTTTATGCAAATGTCCAGCCTTGAGATTTTGCATAATACTATTTCATAAAGACAACTATTGCAACTAAACATGCTAATAATTATAATTGTCATTTTAATTGTATTCAAATAAACTAAGATAGAACATATTCATTTAAGTTGTATGTTGCTTTCTACCACATTGTTCCAAATGAAATTTTACCACAGTAACCCTATTAATTTTATTTGAATTGGTAAACATAAGCAATTGATTTAATATGGAATATATTAAGTAGAGAGAGCATGTGGTTAACTTTAATAATGGAAATAACAACTTTAAAAGAGAATATGATCCACCATAAATTCACAGCAAAAGGTGATCAAGCACACAAAATAGGGCACTAAAATTTATGAGGTTCAGCAAGATTCATTTACGTCCAAACAAAGAGATTAAAATACTCCATCAAGTTTCAAGAGAGTTCATGACAGAATTCTTTACATTTTAGAGGTGATTAAATGGTAGCAATTCGAGGAACAAAAACGAAAAATGATGACATCCTTAATGCAGTCATGAAGTAAGAATAAAAAATGCAACCATTTGCTGCTGTGGAGGTAAACTTCCCTTCAGCCTTTCTAACTTGAGCTCAAGTTTCCTTTTTTCATTTTTTTTGCTTCAGCTTTCGGATGGAGGCAACTCATGCTATTCTTCCCTACAGCAACAGTGAAATGAGCCTCTTCCTCGCCTCTTGTTTTACATGAACTCCTCCCTCCACTTAATTTTTTTTCTATCTCTTCATAGTGGATAGGCGCTTTTGGCATGGAATCACTTAGTTGGGGTTGGTATTTATAAATTAAAAAACACATTACTATGAAAACTTCCCTATCTTACAAGAAAAACATTAAGAAAATGCAAATATCTCACAGCATAAATGCAACATTGTCTTAAATTATTCCTCATTAAAAATCCAAGCTGAATCTCAATCAACGATTTTAATTTATGAAAATTTTGTATAATAAATTACTAGAGATCTATTTTAGAAGAGAGTTTATTCTCCACGTATCACCTATCCAGATATTTCAAAAAGTAGCAAGGTATACATATATCTCTATAAACCAAGGTAGGGTAATACCCTAGGCATGTACATCCAAGATTTTACTAAAGTTCTACTATGGTTAAGACAAAAAATAATTTCAAAACAAGAAAAAGCAAATTAATACTTAATTGTTCAAAATATTCATCTTGACAAAATATTTATAGTGTTTTTTATGATTATGACTTTGAGATCTAAGCTCATTGGATAATGAATTACTAACAAGTGAAAGCTTGATCGATTTGTTATAAAATGAAAGCAAAGAAAATAATACGCAAAGAGCCTCATTTCTTGTGTGCATAAATTGCTGCAAAGTGTTGCATTTATTTTTTATCCTCCAATTTTATTTCATTACCTTCTTAAGACCCCTACAAAATAAATTCAACCAATTGCAAAGCTTTCTAGGTTTTGACAAACGTGATAGAAGTACATGTTAAGAGATTTACACAAAAATTTTCATCAGCCAATTCCCATAACAATAACCAACCTTTAGATGTAGGAGAATATAAATGCATGCTACTAAATTCTTATGTGTTTTACATATTTTACACCTAAATTTTTACATATTTACTTATATAAGATTTTAATTTTTAAATGGGATAAAAAATACCATTCATACCAACTTATCCAACTAAATTGCATCTTTTCATTCATATCTTTTGATGTCATTTAGACACTAGAGTGTTATATAAGGAAATATAAAGTTTTAGGGTGTTAACTATGTAAACATACAAATTCAACAGTATGTATGTAAATTCTCTTTACATTTAACAACGTCATTACACAAAACATTGTTCTTGAAGCATATGGTAGTAATATAGGATACAACAATCACATTCTATAATCATATTCTCAAGAGAAAAAAAGTCAATGATAAACACATTTACAACATAGGAAAAAAAGAAAAATGTGAACAAAAGAAGTAAACGAACTCCACTGTCAGAGTAGGAATATCTCACCAAAAGACAGCCATTAATGACTAATGGTCATACAATAATCCATAGTTTATATCATTACAATAAGAGGAATGAAGCATTACTAACACTACTGAAATAACAAAGTGAGGAGTATAAAGGAATTATTTTGCCCAAATTAACACAACCTGAAGCAAGGTGAGCTGAGCCAATAGAGTTGTTGCCTCTGTCTGCAGTGTCTGTACCTTCCGCTCAAGTTCATTTGTGTGGCGTACTTTTCTCTCTTTTGATCGAGCAGCAGACTGCCTGTTTGCAAGAATTCTACAGAACAAAACAATGAAGATTGAAAAACTAAAAAATTATAAATTTAACAGTTCAATCAAGCGTAATAAAGAAAACGATACTCAAACTCGAATCCAAATGAAACGCCAACAAATTTCATACTTATAACTCTTCTCTTTTCAGCTAAAAAAGGAACTGAAATCCCACCAAAACACTGAAAATCGGATTCGAATATAGAATACATAGCTCGTCTAATGAAAAAAAACACCAGACCTTTTGGCTCTCTTCGGATCGATCAGAGCCAGCTCCGCGAGCTTATCCGCCGTCATCGCTGCCTTCGAAAAATCCGAAGAAGGCGGCACCGACTCCCCTTCGAACGGAGACGTCGACCCGTCCATAGAGCTGCTGTGCCGATGCTGCGGCTTCTTCTCCTGTGCAGAGCCACTGGTGGCTCCGGGAGCCTGGAATCCCAACCCATCGAAGAAAGCTGTGTCCAACGATAGACTCCTCAAGTGAGCTCCACCTACGGAAGGTCTTGATACCGGATTCACCGCTAACGGCTTTGATGTGCCGCCGGAATCGGTGGGAATGGGAATGGCAGCGGCGGTGGTGGTGCTGCCGAATTTGTTTTCATCTGAAAGAGAGGGAAAGTCGATATCGGAGAAGTTGAAGTCGGGGTCGGAGTCAAACAGGAACTCTTCGGTGAGGCGGAAGCTCTCCGAGTAGGCCCGCCGGTGGCCGGAGCTCCTAGGGTTCGGCGGAATCTGGCCGCCGGCAAAGCGCTGGTTCTTCTGCAGAGTTTCGAGCGGCCGATTCGAGTCCATGCCCGTGTGTTACGGCCCACCAAGACTATAGTGCGCGATGACCTCAGAAAAATAAGGGCGGGGGGAAGAAATAAAGATGACTATAGTAGAAATGCAAAGAAAATTTATTTTTCTTAAAAAAAATTATTCATTTAAAATTATATTTTATCCTTTTTCCCAACTTTATAATAAGTTTAGGAGTGAAGTGTCAAAATAATCAATGACTATTTATTTACATGAAAAAAATTTTGTGTTTGGATGGAAGCAGCGTCTGAACAACGGGCTCAATACACGGGGTGAGGGCTTTTTTTCTCTTACGTTCCTCCGGTGAATCGCGTCCGTTGTCTGGATGTTGCTTGCGTCTAGACTCCGTATGCAATATTTCTTAATTTACGTGAAGACATTTTAGTCTTCGAGGTTATAGAAATGTCAAAATACTCTCAGCTTATTTTAAAATTGAACTCTAATAGTCTTTCATAAGCGTTATTTTAGGCCCAATCTAAAATTGGACTTTGATAGTCCTCCGTATAAATCATATCAGCCTAAATATAAATTTGAGCTCTAAGAATCTTACAAACATTATTGCAGCTTACTATTATATTCTACATGAGAATTTATGGTCTATGTTGCTCACGGCTCAATGAACTTCAATTTCGATCTATGTGCCCTAAAAACGTTATAGCAGCTCACCACTATGTCTGTGTGGCTCACAACTTATGCAGGTTTCAACGCTGACCTTCGCAATCTGCAAACGTTATTGCAGCTTATTACTACGCCCTATGTGGCACGCAGTTGATACAACTAGGGTTGAAAGCGAGTCGAGCAGGAGCGAGTGTGTTCGGCTCATTCGGAACTGGCTCGTGTTCAAAATGACTCGTGAACAATGTATTCATATTCAGCTCGAATAACATATTTGTGTTTGTATTTGGCTTTTGTTCGGCTCAAAATTGGCTTGTTAGAATATAAAATTATAATAATAATAAATTTTCTTAAAAAAATTAAAATAATAATTTATTCTAAAAAAATTGTTTCTATTAATAATTTAATATCAAACCCTAAAACATTGATTAACTAAAAAAAATTCAAGAACAAATCTCATATAAAATTCTACACAATTAGAATATTAATATGTTTTACAAATTTTTATATAATAATAACAAATTTATTGCAAATTTTATGATTTACAAACTAAACAAGAATATAAAAAGTACAAATTAAATGTCAAATATAAATCAAAAGGTAAAAAATAATTGTATTGCACTTTTGCATTTAGAAATATACATTTATATTTGTTACACACACATGACTTGCATTACTAAGCCTTAAAAATTTTAAAAAACCATAAAATTTTAATTCTATGACTTTGTACTAGTTCCTTGATCTTTATGTTCTACAATCAAATAAATAGTGATTAGTAAATGATGATGAGCCATTGAGGGTCTTGCACTCGCAATTCTTAGTTATGTATTAGAAAAAAATAACCAATTAAAATGAAAATAAAGGTTAAGGTATAATTATTAATTGAGGCTCGGTTTTATAAACTTCTTTCATCACTTTCAAGTAAATCAACTATACAGTTACAGAGTACGTGCATTTCGCATAATGAAACCAGAGTTAATATTTAAGGCATGAAATTAAATTGCAGTGAAACTATTGTAATCTTCCATTATGGTTTGCATATGTGTGCCAGAGTAAGATAATAATGTTAGGCTACTTTATTAATTATTATCTTCATAATGGTTGCAAACATGTATGTCATGTTAATAATGAGATTTTAACAATTATAATCATCATAGCCTCTAATAACAAATAATAAGATTTTCAAAGCAAACCAACCATTGCACAAGAACCAAAGAAAATAAAGCATTAAGGAAATCTGCAAGCAAGCTTAGAAAAACCCAACAACATGAATAACCAAACTAGGCATCATGAATAAACAAAGCCTTAAAATGACAACATGAAATCTGTAATCAGGCTGAAAATAAATAAGCTTTTAGCCAGTCCACTATTTTTTGTTCTTTTTGAGGACTCAAAGTCCTTAGTTTGTTTACTTATATATCATCATCATATAATACCACTTTCCAAATAAATCTTCTTCCCATATTGTTAGATATGACATAAAGGGACAGATTCTGGAGCAGAGCGGAAGATTCTGTCTAAATCAGGGAAGTTTTCTTATGTGGGTTGGGGGTGAGGTACATGAGTAATTACATATTGTACTCCAGGGTTTTCTAGGATTATAAATAGACATGTATGTAACCCTTGGTGTTATCTCATATTCTGTATCCTGTATTTTTTTTTCTGGATTAGTGAAAAAGTCGCTGCTCTGCTCCCGAGGACATAGGCATCTTTGTCGAACGTTGTTAAATCTCTTTGTGTTCTTCTGGATTTGTGTCAATTACTGTTTTTTTCGCCCTGATTTCTCAACACAGAACATGAAAATGACCCGACGAGGAAACAAATCGGAAAAGATGGGATATACGATGAAAATAAATAAACGAATTTTTAAAAAGAAACATGGAAGGCTTATGCATGGGTAATCCTCATGTGATGATCGAGAGTATATGTTCAAACAAAATCGGATCAAAATATCTCGAAACATGGAATCCACGAAAAACTACTGCTGAAATTTGGTGATTGACTGGATGTGATTGGCTGGATCAAAGGGAGAAAGATGTTGGATTTTTACAGCAATCTGCGGGATGGATCCAGAAGATTTCAGTTGGAAGGCTTCGGTAATCAGTTAGAGGAAGGTCGATCGATGGAGTAGCTTTCCGGTCGATAGGAGCAAGGTGGATGAGGGCAGTCTAGGTAGATGGAAACAAGAAGAACGAGAAACACAGACAGTTCAGGCAATAATTTACCACCATTCAAATGAATAAAACACAAAATGAGAGAAATCATATCAAGGAACATTCTAAGCAATTAAGTAGTTAAGTACAAGACAAATGACTGAACAAGAAATCAGTAGTTAGTACCAGTATAAAGCAGGCGAGAAGTAATTAAATACAACACCAACAAACCAAACATTGGATAATAATTGTCCAAAACAAAATTAAAGTGCATGCAATAAAAATTAGAAAGAAATCTTTTCTTCAATCTTTAAGCCTTCCTTCAATTTATTTGGGCAGGGTCACTTCAAGATGTTTCTGTTCCAATAATTCTTGCTCATAGAAAGATATGTAAATATTAGTAATAAGAGTAAATATATTTTAAAAACTAATTCTTAGAAGAAATTACCAATAGAGTTTTCGAACTACTCGAAAATGAGAATATTAGTGCATTCACTATCATTGAAGAGAGTGAACTTTTATAATCAATAAGAACTCGGCCACTAGTACTAAATGCATATTACAAAGCAACATTTGTTATTGAAATTGACAATATAACCTTAGCCATTTTGGATAAGCCTGATACTTGAGGGTATTCAACTTCCACCACATAAAAACATCAAATTGTTCATTATTAGCCAAAATTATACGCTCATCAACATAGACTTGTAAATCTATCTTTAAAGATTTTGAACCGGTTGAAACAACAAAATCAGCAAATATAAACATAAAACCAAAAAAAAAATTATTAATAAAATCACTTGACAACTGTGAAGATAGTTTGTCACATGTAGAACTAGAACTAGCAATATCACTTGCATAATTATTAAATACTTATCACATGAAATCTTCAACTTGTTGAATTTTTGAGTTAAATTCAACTGATGTATATATCTTCACAATGCTAAAATGTATTAACTTGATTTTCAATCGAGAGTCCAAAACAACTGCAACATACATTAAAATATTACACTCACCGTAATATTTATCAAATTTAATCCTCGTAGCCATAGTCACGTTCCTCCTATACTTCTCAAATGAAGTCGACTCATCCAACAACAGTTTCATGATATACATAATAGTAGGTAAATAAATATTTGAGATCGGGTTGGAAGAACAAAAAAAAATATTTATCTTAAAGAGTCCTATATTCAGCTATCAAACTTCAAAATAATAGGAGAAAATATTGTATCAGGACTCCGCACGGACTCCGCACGCAGAGTTACGTGCATAGTTCAATGAAATTACGTCACGTGGTGATGACAGAAAAAAAAAATTAAAATTAAAAAAAAAATTAAAATCTGCCCTGTAACACAAAGAAATATTCCTCTCGTGTTATTCAGGTATTATTGTGTGTTATTCACGTGTTATTGTGTGGTATTCAAGTATTGTTTTGTTATTATAACACCGAGAATATTTTCATAACACAATAACATCTGAATAATACACATAAACACCTGAATAACACAGGAGGAATATTCTCTTGTATTACCGGGCAGATTTTATTTTTTTTTATCACCGTCACGTGACGTGATTTCATTGAACCCCGCACGTAACTCTACTTTTACGTTGGGAGATCTGATGCAATATTTTTCAAATAATAGAGCACCTCAATAATTTCTCATCAAATCTTATAAATCTATT